TTTTTAATTTTTTATGTTCTTTTTCGTGTTGATTTTTTATAATATTTCGTATTTTCGTTGGTCGTTCGGAATCCTACTTCATCTTTTTTTTATAATTTTTTTATGTTCTTGTTTGTGTTGATTTTTAAAATAATATTTATAGTATTTCTTTAGTTGCAATTGTGATACTTGTTGATTTTACACAAACAATAATTTTCTTTATTGTTATTATTATTATCATTGTTATAACATTTATGAGAGACAGTATTGAATAGACATGCTGAAGGAATATCAACTATCCTGATGACAAGTGAAACTAATACTAGTCTTGACACAAGTCCTTGTTCAAGAATCTGTGAGCTAAGAGTGTCCATCTTCCCTGCTATTCCTGTTCTTCCAGGCTGTTGTCAAGTTCATAATTATCATTGCATATCATAAGTCATAGCATTAATTAATTGTTTTTTTTTTAATAAAATAAAATAACACTTGATAAAACAGTAACATGTAAAATCAATACCTTCTTTTAGCTGGAAACCTCCACTAAAGTATTGCAGTAGATTCCAAGCATAGCTTGGTAAAAGAATAACTTGCTTCTTCCAGAGCTGCAGATCTGAGCATGCGCGACCACACCCAAATATTGGAGCACATGGCAAGCTTCTTTAATTAACAAAATGGCGGCATGCAGCTAAGATGGCTCGATCCAGCAGTCACAGTATCACTTTTTCCTTACTTGAAGAATGATCTGATGGGACATGGACCTGCGCATAGACTGTTGGAGTAGATTGGTGTAAGAATTATCCTTGTAGCACCAACTGATACTGAGATACACACCGACAACTGGATTGACAGGACTTCTGACTTGATGATGAAGATGAAAAAAGGTGGCTGAACAAAACGGCCGGTTCGCCGATTTTGGATTTTCTCTTAGACAAGATCTAGAGCCATGCTAGTGGTACCAATGGAGTCCTCTGGTCAAGATGAAGTCCTCTAAGAAGTCTGGTAAGCATAGGAGCTTGTTTTCCCGGTATAGCAAGGCTGCAAAAGTCGTGGCAGCCATTTTGTTTGGGGGTGAATCCTACTTAGTAATGCTACCGCGTTACTAATAATAGTACAGTGACTTTGGCCTAATTTCGCCAAAAATGACTAGGAGAGAATCCTTCAATTTTATAATTTTTCCTGATGCATATACATGTTTTTATGTTCTGTAGAAAGTTTGAACTGGTTCAGATCAAAATCAATTTTTATGGATTTTTAAATTTGCTCCAAAATCAAGTAAAAGTCCCTGTACTATAGTACAGGGTCGTTGGCCAAATTTTGCCAAAAATGAAAAGTAGAGAATTCTCCACGTTTATAATATTTCCTGATACATGTACATGTACTTATGTTGTGTAGAAAGTTTGAGCTGATTCCGATCAAATTTGGATTTTTAATGAATATTTAAAGTTTCTCCAAATGCCATGTACTGTATTGTAGTGCTTGTCAGCTCATCCTTTGAAGGAAACACTAACGTTTACATGAACATAAGTTGTTTGTTGTTGTTGTTGTTTACAGGTCAGTTGATGAGTATGATGGTGATGAGACTGGGTTCAGTATAGCTGGTCTATTCAAGTCCTTTGGTTCATTCATTGGAGTATTCTTAGGATCATTTCTATTAGGAACTGCCATTGGACTAATAACAGCACTGGTAACTAACTGGGGGAGGGAGGGAGGGAGAGATGTTTTTATATAAATTTATGCGTACAAAAGTTTTTTTAATACTGTACAAGATGATTTATTGGCTAGAATAATATTTGGCGAATTTGCCTGTGGAAAGAAATTGACAGATTTTATATTGGGGATTTTGTGCCACATGCCATTGAGCATGCTCAGATTGAAACAAAATGGTGGATTTTATATTGGTGATTTCTTCATAGAACTGCCAATTGCCAATATTAATTCCTCGCCATTTTAAGATGAACGAAGAAGAGAGGTCTTTACATGTACATGTATATTATTTTCATTATTATTATTATTATTATTAATTTATTTATTTATTATTATTTATTAATTAATAGATGATGAAGTTCTCCAGGTTGCGTAACTACCCACTGCTAGAGACCTCAATGTTCATTCTAATGTCCTACTCTTCCTTTGTCATTGCTGAACTAGCTAGTCTCACTGGTCAGTTACTAGTATCAATATATCAATGCACACACATTGTAACATTGTTAGTATTATCACTAGTGATGTACATGTACATGTAGATCTACCATATGGCACAAAATTTGTGAGGGCTGTAAATTTCATGAATTTTGAAATTTTTGCAGATTGGCAAAAATTACTTTCGTAAAAATGAAATTATTAGGTACAAGATGGCAAGGCAGCATAAATTCATGAAAATTATGTCCACAAAATAGATTTTTTTTGGCTAATTCACAAAATTTACATCTGTCAGTCCAAAATTTGTTTAAAAGGAAAGTATGATTTAATATTAGTCTGGTATTCCAGTCTATTGTTTGCTGGGTTTGATTCATTACACAATGTAAAGTTTATTACATTGTGAAGTCTCCTTGTTCTTATATAAACTGGTTTCCTTTCATGTGGTGTGTTAATGATATTCATAGAGTACGACCCACGATAGCCTGGTGACATTAACCCACTATAAAAGGGTATCCTGGGCCTAGTGATGGGTAATGCTTCTTGAATATTGCTTTTATGCAAAAATTTTTGGATGGACAAGCTATTATAGCATGTCCTTCTTTTTGTCTTGTTTACTCAATTTCATTTTGTTGTTGTGATTACTTTACAATGTCTCATTATTATTTATTACTTTATTGTTGTTGTTGACAGTTATTATTGTTTGTTTGTTTATAGGTATTGTTGCTATATTGTTCTGTGGTATCACCCAGTCCTACTACAGCTACTGTACATCAACATGAGTCAGGAGTCGCGACGAAGGACCAAAGAAGTCTTTGAACTAATCAACTTTCTATCGGAAAACTTTGTCTTTTCCTACATGGGCCTCTCTTTATTTACCTTTGCTAATCATCAGTGGGTACCTGGGTTTATCATCTTTTCCTTTGTGGCTATTTTCACTGGACGCGTCATCAATATTTATGTTCTCTCATTTCTCCTTAATCTCGGACGATCAAAGAAGATCAGTTTTAGGTTTCAACACATGTTAGTATTTGCAGGTAAACGTATTGTATTGACATTTTCTGATACATATTGATGTCCTTATGCTGTGTAGAAAGTTTGAGCTGATTCCAACTTTAATTTTTTAAGTTATGGCCATTTTAAAAAACATGTCTATTAATCAACACTATTATTATTATTATTATTATTATTATTATTATTATTATTAATAGGTCTAAGAGGTGCTATTGCGTTTGCTCTTGCAATACGTAACACAGAGACTGAGGAGAGACAGCTAATGTTCACCACTACACTAGTCATTGTACTAATCACAGTACTGATCTGTGGAGGGTTCACCACACTAGCACTACAGTGCCTTAGAATTAGGTAATGAGTACATGTACATGTGCTGCACATACATGTACATGTAATTCATTTATTTATTTCTTTATTATTTATTATTTATTAATAATTACATGTATGTGTTTATTATCACAGGGTCAGGAGATACCCTATGACTCCACTCAAGGGAACCTGTTAATATCAAAGTTTTCAGTTCTTGACAAAAAGTAAATTACATGTACATCACTTTATTATCATCCTTTGTGTGAATTAAATTCTACTTATTATACATGTACATGTACATGTGTATCAAATTTTAATTACATGTACACATTTACCCGAAAGTTTAACCCTTTCTCCAGCGTACATGTACATGTAACTCGGGATTAATGTTGTGTTCAATTCACATACATGTACATGTACAGTATTTAATTATTATCGTTATTTCATTATTATTATTATTATTATCAGGTTTTTGATTCCTTTCCTAACCCATCATGGTCGCCCGTTAACTGATGCCTGTCCTCGCCGGTGCCCCACCATATGTATCAGCTGCTGTACCCAGTGTAAACCAAAGGATGAGGAGGTACGTTTATTAATTGATGGGCGTGGCTTGTTAATTACTGGGTGTGCCTTATGTACATTAACCTATAATGTAAATGAAGATTTATGTATTAAAAGCTAAAGATTTCCTTTTAGAAATTATTATGAGTTTGAATCAATTTAGCATTTAAAGCATAATTTGTCACTCAAAATTAGTATAGTTAATTAGTGGGTGTGGTTACTGACTAATGAATATCATTATGCAGTTACTGGAATCCAGTGATGACGAATCCTCTAAAGACAGTTCCAGTGTCTCAGACAAAATTGAAGACCACGTCCTCTCGTTCCGTGATTCTGAATATACCCAGTCCCATTCGGCTGCAGGGGTGCTACCAGGGGACCGGAGGAGAAGGGGGCGGAGTCTCGAAGGGGAGGAGGAAGGTGATATTGGTCTGGGTACTCAAGGAGGGAGCTATCACATGCTGTCTGAATCTAACCTTTGAGATATACTGGATTAGTATACTATATTAGTATACTATTAGGATACTCTGATTGCAGGTAAATATAATTGTATTGACATTTTCTGACACATTATTGATGTATTTTTGCTGTGTAGAAAGTTTGGGCTGATTCTGACTTCAATTTTTTAAGCTACGACCATTTTAAGAAAATCCCAAAATTGAAAGTACCCAAGGCTATATAGCTCATGGTTTTTTACCCTATACTATACTCAGCATCACCTATCGATGGGTAGTGCAAGCATGATAGAGAGTATGGTGATATACTCATTGAGTGTAATTCTTACAGTCCTGATAATGATCATTAACATAATG